ACAGGGAAACTGCATTCGCAGCCGAACTATTACAGACAGTTTTAAAACTTAGTGGCACATCCCACCGGCGAACAACGGCGTATCATCCGCAAGCGAATGGTCTTACGGAGCGTCTCAAGAAGACACTAGCGGATATGCTCTGCATGTACGTCGATGTGGAGCATAAAAACTGGGACGAGATCTTGTCGTATGTCACGTTCGCCTATAACACAGCTTATCAAGAAACAACAAGAACAACGCCATTCCGCCTTCTTCATGGTCATGAAGTCACCACTATGCTGGATGCTATGCTGCCGCACGAGTGCAAAGATGCTGAAACGGATGCTGATTATATCACTCAGCTGGCCGAAGAAGCCCGACAACTTGCAGGCCTACGTATTAGTCGCCAGCAGGACTACGATTCAAGACGGTAAAACCTTCGTCACCGACCAGTCTCCCACGAGCCAGGAGAGAAAGTTTGGATATGGACACCTATTCGGCGCCGTGGCCTCTCAGAAAAACTGTTAAGCCGGTACTTCGGTCCCTATAAAGTTCTGCGACGTCTCAGTGACATTAACTATGAGGTTGTTCCTGATACTGCGCACTCTTCAAGGCGTCGAAGGTATGCTCCAGAAGTTGTGCACGTGGTACGCATGAAGCCTTATTTCTCCGAATGAACTCATGCGTTTCCAACGAGTGCAAACCGCTTTGATTATAAAGCATCGGGACGATGCTTTCTTGAATGGGAGGCTAATGTCACGGCTAAAGGCCGAGAAAGAAGACAGAGGACGATGAAGTGATGAGCGTAGACAGCACCCATGGTTCCTCCGAGGAAGAAGAAGTCGAAGCGGCTGCTCTTTTGTTCTGTTAATACAGACCTCGTTTTTTCTGATCGCACCGTCGTCCTGTATTCTGTTGTTTTCACCTAGCGACAATGTATATATATTGCTAACTTTCATCGCACACATCGCAGTGTGTGTATAGTTGCTGAACCAGCACCCTGCATATCAGCCGTGGGGGGGGGGGGGGGGGGGGCAAGGGGGGCGCAAGCCCCCCCCCCCACTGGAAAAAGTTGGGGGGGCTGTGCCCCTCCACTTTCGACAGTGGTCACTGTCAGCTGCACGCTGGGGAAAACAACTAAGGCAAAATTTCCCTTCACTGTAATCACTCAATTAAATCTTAAGAGAAAACGAAAATATTACGGGGGAATGTAACAACATACGGATGACTTTCAAACATTTCAGCAGTGACGATTTTCCATGAAGGTTCTTTGTGTCGCTTGCTGTAGCACTGCACAGAAGGCTTGCGTTGAACAGTGGCCGTATATTATTACATAACTTGTTCATGTCTTGATTCTGCAGTGACTGGCCGATGCAGTTACAGATGGGAACGAACAAACTTTTTATGGACCAGTCAAAGCATTTTCTGCTTCAGGAAAATCATTTTCTTTAATCAAAAAGGATTGCCATCACCGCTGGTTTGTCGAAGCTTCTGGGAGCACGTGATTGCGACTAATCTTTCTAAATATTTTAGTTTTGCCGTACTGAAAGCGCCAAGAAAAGTTTCCGCTTTAATCTCCGATAAATCTGATCAGCCTTGTTTATGGAAACTTGGAGCCATGGAGGCAGCTTGCAAAGTGGCGCCGAATAAAGCAGTAGACTAGACCTCAGTGGGAAGCTGAAATAAGAAGTGCTCAAAATAACCTTAGTTGCTCTAGAAGTGCTTTAAATTTAAAAACTGAATTCTTTGAGAGCTGTTTTTAGTCATTAAAATTTCATTCAATTATAAAATATTTACTGTTGAGGAGGCTGCCATCAATATAATTGCATTCAAAAGCATCGCGTGTAAAATTATTTCATTCATCATACATGACAAACATATACGTGTCGTCCCAGTGCATGCCGATTAAAACTGACTGTCCTTTTTTTATGCTATTCAACAAGGGCTGTGTGTATGAAAAATCACATGAAACTGCGAGTGCGTCGAAGGAGTTGTCTCTCTCCTAATATATATATATATATATATATATATATATATATATATATATATATATATATATATAGTCAAGAAATAAAGGAGCACACTTACGAAAATAAATTGTATACTTTTTCAGTCTACGTTTAGGCCGTGGCACGGCCTTCGTCAGGATGAAGTATATGTGGACCGGACCCACAGAACTTCTTTTTTGAATCATAATCACACACACACACACACACACACACACACACACACACACACACACACACACACACACATATATATATATATATATATATATATATATATATATGAGAGATCTAACAGACAGTAATGCCAAGGAATGTACAGGGGAAGTTATTAGAACCAATGGAATGTAAATAAGAACAAAGAAAAGTGGATGAAAAAATAACCAGCCGTGAGCTGCTCACGGCTGGTTATTTTTTCATCCACTTCATCCACCTTTCTTTCATTCCTTGGCATTACTGTCTGTTAGATCTCATTAATATTGTGTCAAAACACGGAAAAACGAGCCCTTAGGTATACACTTCTTTCCCTTATTTCATTTAACGAGGGTCTCATACTGGCAGACTTGGTGTCATTAGGTTGTATACGAGGGACTATTAATCAGCTGCCTGCTCGTAATAAGTTCACGTGCTACGTGACGCCAAACATGCGCATAAAAGAGTGGTTCACACTCGTCGCTTGGCTTATAGATAGCGCTGACTGACACTCCTCCTTCTAAATTCACATATAAACCCCAAAAAAAGTGGATGGAGAGAAGGCCGCTGTGGTAGCTCAGTGGTTAGAGCATCGAACACGTTATTCGAAGGTCGTAGGTTCGTTTCCTGCTCACAGCTGGTTATTTTTTCATCCACTTTTCTTTCTTCTTATTTACATTCCATTGGTTCTAATAACTTCCCCTGTACATTCCTTGGCATTACTGTCTGTTAGATCTCATTAATATTGTGTCAAAACACGGAAAAACGAGCCCTTAGGTATACACTTCTTTCCCTTATTTTATTTATATATATATATATATATATATATATATATATATATATATATATATATATATATATATATATATATATATATATATATATATATATATATATATATATATAGGTATGGGATATGGCACAACGGGAGCGTTGTCAACAAGGATAAATATATTTATTTCGGGAGGGGTCCTCGCTTCATCAGGGGATGAGTTATATATATATATATATATATATATATATACCAGCTGACAAGTGTGGTAGATTAGCCCCCCCCCCCCCTTCTCAAAAGAGTTGGTAAGCCACTGCCCTGCATACAAAGAGTAATTAAGCAATATGGCTGCTGTACTGCCGTCTCTCAGTTTGCCCTAATGAACACAGTTATACCACACACTGACGCTCCATTATGGACACATGTTCAGATGCGAGCAACCAAACAAAGAGAAACGTTAGTAAGCAGCCCAATAAAGGAGTGAGGAAGAAGCCTGTGCACTATCCACGAACTCTTCAGTCTACATTGTTGACAGAACTTAGAGAACCAGCACAAAACACCACAGTCTTTGTAGTCACTAAATGCTTCATATTGGTGATCATTTTCAAGTGTGCTCCCACTCATATGGGCACTCCTGCATTCATTGGTCATAAATACAATCACAGCAGAGATTAGCAGAAGTGATTGATGACTAAGGACCAAAGTTATGACTAGCATTCAAAGCGCGAGCTTTAGGATGGGCTGTTTTTTGCCATTTCAAAATATGAATTGTGCCTGCCATTAGGTATTGGCATGCTCAGGAACATGAGGGCCATGAATTGAAGTTTTGATTCTCCAGTCTTTGGCACTTGCGCTATTCTTCTGTTGTAGTTGTAGTTATGTATTGAGAAAAATAAAGCAACACAAACACCCATAGTTAGAAATTTTTCTGCCTGTGCTCAGTTATTGCATACATCCACAATATATTACTGATGTTATCCCATACTGAATTAAATTTAGTGGGATATATAACAGGAGCAAAAATAATATTTTACACTCTGAGGGAAAAAGATTTATTATTTCACCACCTAGCCACGAGTCTGTAAATGTCAAAATTCAGATGGCATTGAAGTGAAGCAATTTCTAATCCAGTTTTTTTGCATACAGTTTGTTCATCAATAATACTTGGGTTTTACAGTGCAGACCATTTTCAGCATGCCCATAATTTTTGGTAACATATTAAGGATAATTTGCATGATAGTGATATATGCATTTCCTACAAGCCTCATCCCACACAAAGTTTTGTATAGTATTATGAAGTAATTGCCCTTTTGCTCCATTCTTTCTCAGATTAGCACTTTCTAAGAGTTGCTTCCATGTATTTTGCAATACCCATTCTGGATACATATGCAAATCCTGTAGAAATATTTTTGATTACTGAAATCTTGAAGGCAAACCATTATAGGTTTTTTCGGGGTATAAAAAACTGCTTTAATGTTGAGATAAAATTGATCTTTCCTGAATTTCAAAAAGTTCATGTGTAGTAGTTTGATCACTTCTGTTTTTTAGATCAGTTACCTCTGTCTATAATTTTGACAGGTTCAATGCTACTAAGGGTGAACTTTTTCTTTAGATGTGACGAAACAATAGCTGAATAATAATATAATATGTAAGTCTTCTACTAATAAGTTATCAAGTGTTCTTGCACTTGCCTAGATTTATGTTACCAGTTCATGTTCATGCAAGACTTCAAGAGGTAATTTTAATTGTTTATGGCAGACTTCTTCTCCCTTGCAGGCAGCTTCAAGAACCTACTTTATGAGAACAACAAATGTTATATAGCCTTTCAATGTTTCCATGTTCAGCACGAAGGAGAGGGAGCCAGGAGGGCAGCTTCCCTCCCAGAAATTTCAGCCTGTTGGCCCAATGGCACCAAGCCACATCACTTATAAGGTAGCTGTAGTGCGTACTTCACCCACATCTCTGGCCCCCTCTCTAAATGACCTGGATGTCATGGCTGCCTCCTAGGGGAAAAAATCTTGGTGCTGTCCACGGCTTTTCTGCAACACAGGCACGTTTTCTGTGATTTTTATTTCATAAAAATTTGTTTTACTTTTGAAAGCAAATACCTTATACACAAATGCTATCACTGGTGGCTCTGCAGTGCCAATAAATCTTTTTTTTCCTTCAATGTTTGTTTTTATTTCAAATCACTCTGCCATAAGGATTTGTATGATTCTAGCCTAGCTTACCATCTAAAGAAAGTTACAGTTGTCACATCTACAATTTTGCAGGCACACTAGCCATTTTTTGTTGCAGCATATCACTAACAAGGTGCGTTGCATGGAGTGCTGTACCCCAGGATGTATTTATTCCGTGTGCTCCATGGCCATAGTTGTGAACCACCTTCAAGAGATAGATAAAAAAAAATAAAACATGAAATGAGCGCACACTTGTTTATGCTGAAGCTAACAAGTTTAAGCAATGTGTATAATTAGACAATGGTGCTCCATGTTTTTAAATATGTTGTAGTATAATAGAGACAGACACATTAACAATAAAAGAGTGGCTACTTGGGCTGCTTGGTATTGTATTTTTGAAAGAAATATACTTTCTTATTATTTTTTTAGTGTGCAGGAACCATACCTGTCTTCTTTCTGAAACCTTCTCTGCACACTAAGAAAGTATATTTCCTTTAAAAACATCAAAAGTCTTTTACTTACTCATGATAATGCTATATATATTATACTAAAACATTCAAGTTCAAGCGAGGAAGTCAACACCTCCCTTTCCAACAACAGACTATATATGTTGTGCACAAATGTTAGATGTACAATTGTTATGCTCATGCAAATAAAAAATTTTAGGTTCAAAGCGAACAGTGATTTTGATCAAATAATTTCGAACCAAATTCGAATAGTAGGTATGACATATAAAAAAAAATGGCCATAACCTGCACAATATTTTTGAAAAATTGAAACAAGGCCTCTGTGTAAATGCCATTTTTTTTTCATTAAAAAAAAACTGAAACATTGAATAGTAGCAGTATTTGACTTTTGGAAGAATACAAGTGATAACCAATGAAATATGTAACATTTTAAAATTTACTTAGAGTATAGTATAAGCTGGCATAACAAGCTTTTAAACTTCAAGAAATGATGAATCAATTTGACAGTAATGCAGTTAAACAAACGCCTTTATTAATGGCTTGCTCCAAGCAGCAATTCTTGTCTTTTATATGAGATGTCTCTTAATAAACAGGATACCTCTTATGCATCGTCTTATCAACCCGTATTTTGCTGTAGGCACACTGGTGTCACTTATACCCATTTGTCTCTAATATCAGTGTCCATTATAGAGGGGTCCGACTGTACGTTGATTTAACTTTGAAGTATGGCTTCGCAACCATGCAGATTTCTCTTGGATGTGTTTTCATGGCTTAGCATTTCTTTAGTGCAGTGAAGTTACCTTTACAAAAAAATAACAAACAAAATTTATAAATAGATGAGATAAATGTTTTCACAGTTTAACTTTTCTACACTGCAGTGAAACCAGTTTTACAAAAGATTGCATGTGAACTAATTTACATACATCTATTTGTTCATTGCAAATACTTCATAATTTTCAATAATTGAATACTGCACTATTCGTTCGAATATTCGACAGATTCAAATATTCATACAAGCCTAGGAATTATGTAACCTGGAGCCAGTAAATAAAAGAAATTCATGTGTATCCCATGTATTGTGAGAATCAGTGTAAGTGAAGAATTTTTTTCAGCCTCATACTAGCTTCAAACTTATCATTAATTATTGCTTTACCAAAACAAATAATTATTTTATTTGTCTGGAAATGCTAGCTGTGATAAGTTGATTCTGAGTGGCAATGGCAAGAATTAATCATGATGTGCCTTTACATTGTGTTTATTCAGTATGTTTGAGGACCGACCAATAAAACGACTTTTTTGCACGTGTTTTCTTCATTTCTACAAATGAATCCACTTTTGAATTAGCATCTTGAAAATCACTGACTGCCATGGGCAAAGAATGGCAAAGCGAAAAAATGAATAATAATAACAATAATTGTTGGGGTTTAATGTGCCAAAACCCCATCGTATGATTATGGGAGATGGCGTAGAGGAGGGCTCCAGAAATTATGACTACCTGGGGTTCTTTAGCATGCACCTAAATCTAAGCACGTGGGCTTCAAGCATTTTTGCCTCCATCGAAAATGCGACCACAACAGCCGGGATTCAATACCGCGACCTGCGGATCAGCAGCCGAGTTCCTTAGCTACTAGACCACTGTGGCGGGTAAAAAACTAAGAATGCATTAGATTATGCAATCAGTGATCTAATGCTGGGCAACTATTGGGACCCAGTTGAAATTGCACTACAGATATACAGGGTGTTTTTTTTTTAACCAATACACATTTTTTTAATAAAAATCCTACTACAGTAAAGCTCTTGTCATTTTCAAGCATAAACTCCATGTTAGGCAGAAGTACTTTGCTGCAGGTAATTAGCATGACACTGTTGTGAGCAATTCACAAGAACTCATAATTAACTTTTTGATTATTAACTTGAGGGCAAGTGTTTATATTACAAAGTTATAGTGCATGCCAATTCACAGCATAGTTATTTTTTAGAAATCACACAAGTTGCACATAGTTAGAGATATTCATGATCGAACTTCATGGGCGAAATTGAATTGATCACACCTGGAGGTTGCTATTTCAATTTTTCTATGCAAAGTTCGACAAAAAAAGAAAAACATGATATACTGCGCGCAAAAGCAAGCCATTGCCCCAACACAAGTGAGATGGCTTGCAGCTTTTCACAATAACATGTGGCCACGGCACTCCGTCATTCTAATTTTATCACTTCCATGTGAGGGGTAGTTCTCTGTCTGGGCTGGTAGAAAGGTTGCACTTTGTGCACGTCTTGAGTGATCAGTTTTGATTTTGCCTGTCAAGTTCAATTGTGAATATCTTGAACTACATGCAACTTTTGCGATTTGTAAAATATCGTTATGCTATAAATTGGCACAAACTACAACTTTGTAACATAAGCACTTGCCCTCAAGTCAATAATTTAAAAGTTAATTTAAGAATTTTGTTAATTATTTATAACAGTGTCATGCTAACTGCACCAAAGTGTTTTAACCTCGACATGGAGTTCATGTGTGAAAATGACCGGAGCCTTACTACCATAGGATTTTTATATAAAATCTACATAGGTTAAAAAAAAACACCCTGTATATTACTGATCAACATCAAGTGCCAAATTCTTACTGAAATATTTGGCCCAAAATCCGACAGAACAAACTCAGGCTCCTTCTGATACATCACCCATTCGTATGTCTTCCAAGGTATAACAATAATGATACTTGGCCCACAGACACCACATTGTTGAAAAACAGGCCACTGACCAATGTAAAAACAAAAGAAGAATGACGTTTCGGGATCCGTAAGGATCTCTTGTTCACCACATGTACTACAATCCATTCTTATTAATGAAAGAAGGAGTAAGGGGCCCGATTTTTTATGTTAAATATGTAGCCTAATGAAGCCAAGGAAGAGATAGAAATATTATAGTACATAGCCTTTAATTGCTAGGTAGTAAGTATCACATAAAGAAAAATTAAGTAATGTCAACAAACAAAAACTTGTCACTAGCATGGACTGGAACCATAACCTTTAAATTTCATGTCCAATGCTCTGCCAATAGAGCTACAGTAGCAGCTGTTCTCTTGTGCACTATATCAGATATTTCTGCATGTGTGCTCCTTAAAGCACTGGCCAACGTTACTTGTAGCCATATTGGTGAATGTTGTACATTCTTTTGCTGCCAACTGCTTGCCTAGTGTAGCACATAAGCAAGATAAGCAAGTGTTGAAAAAAATGCAGAGAGGAGCATGTGATCTATAACATGTGACCATCCAAATTAGCATGTGAACATATATATGATATCATGCTGGCAGACGGAAATTATGAACTTGCATAAAAAATTGTCATCCCATAATTTGGCATACCTATTTCGAATTTGTGTTATATATTTACAAACTTACAGTAAGACAAACATTTTCTGTGACCATGACATGTTTACAACATTGAGACTATGCTGTTATAAAGTGCAGAAGTTGACATAACAGTACCTTGCACTGGTTGCTGCCACTCCCAAGAACTTCTGCCTCAATTCTGATTGGCTGACGAAAAGGGCGCAGTCCTACCCAGTCTTCAACCACTTTAGCATCCTAATCAGGGAGTCACACAGACATTAGTCAAGCTCCTAAAGTTACACATACTGAATGTGCTGAGTTAACAGACCATATAAAAGAAAATGAAAGTTACTTGAAAATTGATGGGTTTGATTAGGTGCATGTAACTTTCAAATACTGCTACTTTTGTCCACAGTCAGCACAGCAATCCTACAAACTGTAGATAGCTTGATGAACAAGATTTATGCTTAATACTGCAAGCAGAAATTTTAATTCTAAGATATGTTTGGTAAGGGACAGCTTACAAGCCATCTCGCTCCCGACTAACTAGATTATGAAAAGCATATATATCCAAGGCATTGAATGAAAGTTTTTGTGTTCAAGGAGTAAGTTGGTGCACATCTTGACCACAATAAAGAAAAATCAATTCCAAGATATCGTCTTGAAATAAAAACTGCTTCCTTTTCAATAAAAATTAGCACAAACTGCATAAAGTCACACGAGGCTAGGTCACAGTAGAGCTAGTGGGCACATAGATGGTCCTGTCTTGGCTTGGCCTCTCTCTCCTCTTTCTTTCCCGACCCTTGCTATACTGTACTATATATACACAATCAATGCCTCCTAGAAAAAGTATGCCTAGAACGTCGCTCTTTTTCAAGTGGCAGCTTCCTGCCAGCACGAAGTCTCGGAGGTCATGCCGCCTGCTGCGTGTTGCGACCGTCCACCGCGTGAGAACGCTCGCCTCCGTACCGCTCGGTCACGTGACATTACCGTACCACTCGGTGACCTGACATTACCGTACCACTCTGTCACGTGACATCACAGATGCTCGGAGGGGACTGTGAGAGCACTGCTATGTTCACAGGGGGCGGCTGCCTCTTCGTACCGAAGGGGGAGGATAAAATCAGAGGGTATGGCAGCACGTTCGCGGCTCATGTTCCAGGCATAATTTTTTTAAGAGGCATTGACATGATTACGCTTTCTCTCTCTTTTTTTTTTAAAGTCACGGGATTGAATCTGAGCTGCAGTGGCTGCATTTTCAATGTAGGCAAAAATGCTGTAGGCCTGTGAGCTCAGATTTGGGTGCACGTTAAAGAACACCATATGGTCAAAATTTCTGAAGCCCTCCACTACGGCGTCTCATAATCATATGGTGGTTTCGGGACGTTAAACTCCGCATATCAAATAAAATCTTGTTTTTTTTTTGCCTCAATATATCTCTTTTTTATCTCTATTTGCATCTCTGTCTATATTTTTCGATTTTCCTTCACTTTCTCTTTTTTTCTTTCTATGTCTTTGTTTCTCCTTCTGCAGACCTTCTCTCACCCTCTTACCTGTTTCACTCCTTGACCGCACAGTTCTACTGTAAAGCTATTATGGCACATACGTGCCATAGAAATTGGGAAAACCTTACTACTCGCAACACCAGTCAACTAAAAATTAACAAGGGAACACACGAGCAGCAAACCCTGATTGATGGTCACATCTTTCAGCTTCTCTTATTAACCATCTGTAGAGAGTAAGACTGTACAGATGGCAGTGAGTGAGCACGTGCCAGCTCACATAGGTGACAATTTTTTATCTATGACACATGACCAACCTCAAATAACAGCTCTGCTGTAAAATAGTTATTCTTAAAAGATAATAATCAATTTTTAGCCCATTATTCACTAAGTTTCACAGTGGTAGGCAGGTTTACCTTTATAATTGTGCTTTCAAATGACCACTGAGAAAAAATTTTTTGCAATTTTTTTGGTCAAAAAAGTATGCCAGGTTGCCTGGCATATGGTCCGTTTACAAAGGCTTTCCTGAACACAAAGAGAGGGGATGTGTGAGCCTGAGCAACGTGAGCCAATGTGTGAGCCTGAGCAATGTGAATATTCACATTGTACTTGTCTTGCCAAAAGCTATAGTTGATGGGATTTAAAATAAATTATGGGCTTCTCTTTCTTTGTCTGCACTATAAGAGAATGGAACACTCTGCCACCGCAAATAGCCTGTACTGATTTAAGTGATACTTTTTTTCCATGCTTTATGAATGTTTTTTATGTGTTTAATTATATGTACTGTACCCTCCCTGCTGTAATGCCTTATAGCAAAGCAGGTACTTAATAAATAATAAGTAAAGAAATAAATGCAAAACAAGAACATGACAGTGAGGAGCATCTTAGTTGGGGACTTAATATTATTTGTGACTTCTAGCTGGGTTTATATTATGCATATTTATTCTAAGCACACAGGCGTTTTACATTTCACCACCCTCACAATGTGGTCACTATGTTGAGAATCAAACTTGCAATTTTGTGCTTAGAAGTGCAATGTCACAGCCGCTAAACTACTGAGACATGCAGTTGGTGGAATAATAAGAGAAATTCAGTTAAAACTATGCCCAGCCTTCTGAGGTGACAGCATGAGGTACAGAATTGACTGCAACAATGTGTCAAATGCGAGGAAGCAGAAAGCAAAGAGATGTATTGCTTGACATGCATTCCCACATTTAGGGACATGATGACACTGACTCACACACACTGAACCAGCCTGATGCACATGCATCTGCAGTTGGTGATAAGGTGACCACTGCCTACGATTTTCATGATGTGTAGAAGTAAGCTTGTAAACAAACTCTGCACCTAAGAAGCTGTGCTCCACTTATCGTCACGTAACAGTGTTATCATGATATCAGTGTTATTGTTACATAACAATATATATTTTCAAATAGTCATAATAAAAAAGAAATGATGATTTTTTATGTGCTCAAGAAATTCTGGCTCAAGAATGTAATTATGGAGTCAGAAGCTACGAAATATTGAAAAGCCATACGCAATTGACAGCACTAATTTAAGCTAGCGGTTCCACTGCCGCCATCTCCTCATACAGACACCAGACAACACCACTAATATGTTTGGAAAAAGAATGAAAATTGTGCGCGCGAGTACGGTTAGCATCGAATCAGCCAACAAAAGGCTGAGAGCACAAACCTGGATGTATCTTCGGCCAACTCTTGACAATAGGCCGACTGTTGGCATCGTTTCAATGACATGAGAAAAGATGCCCTAGCTACAGTCGGAAGACATAAATCGGCATTGTTTCGCTCTATTGTAAACGTGCCTTAAGCACTGAGGCATGCTGCCGCAAGGGTTCATGAAATTCTGGTTGTGTTTATGAATCAACGATTTCCCTTTCTCTATAAATAAAGAAGAAGAACGTTTTTGCAGTCACTTCCTTGAGAAAGTTTGTCACTGGCTCCGAACACCACTGGTGTTGGGTCGCACGAGACAGCCTGCACCATGTTCACGTTTGTAAAAGTTAAAATTATGGTCACCGCTACAATTCTTGGTTCGACTGTCAATATAGTATGGGTTCTGCACAAGTTCTGCTTCAGCTGATACCCATTTTCTCTCCATTCAGGTGCACTCCAGAAAGCTCCTTTCTTTTGCTCTCACACTAGCATTATTTAAAGCCCTTTTTCTAAGCCTTGAAATGACATAAAAAGGTGCTCTCGAAAGGCTGCCACATTTATAGCTACAGCACTATGAGCCTCACGCATCCCAAAACAGATATATGTGTGTGTGTATTTTTGTTTTTGTTTTTGTAACATGGTTATTTTAAAACTGCATGAATATGAACAATCATCAGAGTGACATCAGCGATGCTGTAGTGCTAACGTGCCTGCTTCTGCAATCGCCGATGCTAAGCTGCATTAATGTAAGCTTGAACATGAGAGCAAGACTACTACCAGAAATGTCGACTCATGATAGCTATACCGTACCTGCCGTGGATCAGCTGGAAATGTATGTTTTGAGAAATACAGTTATAGTAACGGCACTCCCCACAGCTACCATAACTTTGCGCTAGATGATGAAAGTGGGAGCAGTATTTTTTAATGCGAGCCCATCAAATAATCAGCGAACACAGCCGTGTATCAAATAAGGGATGCTAGGAAGCACCTGAACGCTCTGTAGTGGCACGTGAGCACATATTGGTATCATATTTCGCGTGTTTTGTGTCCTTTTGTTTTTTTCCGGGAAAAGTGACAAATTTCAGCACAAAATAAGTGCTGCATTCTGAATTTGTTTAATAAAATATGCTGTTCAGAGTTGGAATGAAGAAATTAGCAAAACAAATTTAATTATTTAATGCTCAGCTACAAAAAATACAAGTTTTACATTCACACGGCTACCAATAATATACTGAAGATGAAACTTTCATACAGTGCATGTTTTTAAATTAGAAGCATTTCTTTGCATACTGCAAGCACTTTTGGTGTCTATCTACGTATCTATCTATTTAACCGCCTACGTCTGGGTGCTCTCGTGATCACCTTCTTAACTTAGAATATACCAAAATCAGTATGGGAAGGCAAGATAGTCTGACAAACATGACTCACTGGTCATGACATGAATATGTCACAGTCCCTTCACGTACGTCGTCAAACCCTTTTAGCCAGATGTGTGGCACATACCCATGGGTGGGTATGTGCCACTGTATGCGGGTATATGTCACAGATCATTGACAGTTTATATCAACCCAGGAACGGTAAGTACACACATGGGTACTTTTAATATGTGAGCATTAAGAAAAAGCCAACATCAGTAGCATTGACCCAATGAACGCAAAGAAAAAATGTCAGAATTCCAGCAGGGAGTGAACCCCAGCATCCTGTGTAGCAATCAAGTATTCTACCACAGAGCCACGCCAGGTCTCACAACTGCTTTGCAAATAAACTGCAATGTTTGTGAACCGTCAATTAGGGATGCAGTGCTGGTTATCCAGTTTTATAAACATTATATATGTACGCCTACGATACAACCGTCATGTCGAGTTAAAATCAACTCTACTTAAGCGCAATCCATTGAATGCAATTGACAGTTTATATCAATTAAGGAATGGCATGAACAGACATTGGTTATTTTATTTTGAGAGCATTAAGAAAAACCGTTCATTTCTAAGAAATGAATGATGGTGAGTGCTTGAAGCTAGAGGTCCTAAGGTCCATAATGTCTACACTAAAGTCGCCCACTTGAATAAAGGATTAACAGATAGATGAACGAACACATTGATGTATGCACAGATGCACGGATGTTCGGACAGGCAAATAGACAGCTAGACGGATGCACAGACAGACAGACAAATGAATGGGGAGATGCATACAGATGGAGACAGACCCCGTCGTTTGTGTGGCAAGTGGATGTTCTACCACACAGCTACGCATTGGCTTGGGGACACAGTGAAAATAACTTCCTCTGCTTGAAAATGCAGTGAAAGTAACCTTCATGCTTTACAAACACATGTGTCCTTTATGTAATGTGTGCTACAAGCGTACATTGCCATCGGGTGTGAGAACATGTGATTATCATAATGACTTCATGGTTTAAAGCTGGTCACCCACTACAAAAGACACACACATTACTGCGCCTATTCACTTAAGGCCACGTAGTTGGTACATAGCAAGTGTAAATAAATGAATAAATAAATCCATTTTTGTGTTGTGCTTGTAATGCTTGCGCTATAGAAAGAGCAATACACATATTTCTTCTGGACTTTATTTTGGCTTACACAGGCGTCGAGAAGTTTGTCATAGAGCTTGCCACAAACGTTCTTCAGCAAAACATTCGTCTGCACTGCAGGATGTGTTTTAGCACTTTTTCACTCAAGTGGCCGCTCTCATAGGCTAAGAGTCAGATTACTTTTTATTGGCCAGCAATTGTACTGTCAAAGCTTGGTAACGACCCGACATTATTTGGCCACTGATAGCAGTTTCAGCTGTGTAGCAAACTCCTCTAATACAACGTAGCTGTGAAAATTGGAGTTATTGATGGGTAGACCAGATCTCCTTGGCCAAACTGCTTCTCGACATCTTAGCATTCATGAGCGGCGGAGACAGTGGCCGTCTTATGCTGAGCTGGCGCATCGCTGTATATTGCACAATTCAACTTTTTCAGGGCCCCGTAAACTGCATATCTTGAAATGTAGACCAGAATCAGATGGACATTCTGCATTGTTGACAGAACTTCGCTGCTTACAACAAAGATGCAGCTGGAATGTCATGCATCTACCTGCTTGCATACCGATTCCCAGTGCTAGTCAGTACATGCAGACGGCAAAGTGCTCTGCAGGTTTACACTGTAGTATTTTTGGTGACCGAAAGGTTTTCCTGTGGCGTAGTGTATGTCCAAGCATTTCGGGGTGTTTCTACCCTTGGGAACTTGAGCAAAGCATCATGGTGTTCCCGATAAAGCTGCTACGTCATTGTGGCAGAAAGCATTTGCACGGCATGTCAGTGTCCTTCCTTCACAATTTAAAACCTCACAGACACAGAAACACTCGCAGAAATGCACAAAGTACAAGCAACTAGAGAGCGAAGAGATGCTCATAGATAAAGACGCGCCGGGAAATGCCGGTTTTGCGGATGCATGACGAATGTGCAATATTTCGGCATACCTAAATTGTCTGTCGCTTGGTGTGACCAACACATCGGTTGACATAATGCAAGCGGAAAGGGTACGTGACTAAGCCCTTCTCTTTCTACAGTTAGTGTTGGTTAGGTCCGGCGATTAGACTTAGCTACTGAGGCAAACACTGAAGCCTGGAGAAATAATCCATACCCGTTCTACCAGCTTTATAACGTTTAGTGGCGTTACATTAGACGAACATTAGAACTCACATGAAACTTGATTTTATTTTTCATAGATAATGCTACCACCAATAAAATGCCTGTGAGATTTATGATTTACCGAAAACATTTTATTTCAAGCAGTGTGTGGCCGAGTTAGTGAGCACAAGTATATACAAGACAAAATATGCATTTACTAATGTGCAATACTCATGAATTACCACCTAAAAGGAAAAAAAGCCAGTCTCTACGAAACTGGCAAGCAGAAAAATTGCCAAAATTCACTGCTGTCTTCTTGATTCGCTAATAAAGACATAAAAATTTTCTTTTCGTAAAATTCTAGAGAAGGGCCTACTGCTTGATTATATAGCAGTTCAGAGTTTCAGCTTGAATATATTTGTTGCTTTATTGGTAATGCATGACCAAGTAAAGCCATAAACTGTCCCACTGATGTAATAATTCATTACAGTTTTGTCAGAGTACAAAATAACTTTGCTTGTAAAATAAGTCTATTCTAGTTCACTAAACATCCTGGTCTATTCTAGAACCACTAAATGTTCTAACTCTACATTGAAAAGAAAGAAAGATATTCATTTACAAATTTTCACTATTGTGCCTATTTTTATTTGGATCACCCATAAATAAGTTACTAATTAATTTATATGCAATATCTCTTCATAGAAACCTTGTGTAACACTTTGTCTAAAAGTACAGTAAATTTTGCTCTGTTATGCTGAACATTTTCACCGTATTAGCAGTACAAATAGATGCTTGTACAGCAAAAACTGTTATTGTTGTTCACACTACTTTCATTGCTATTATGGTAAGTAACGCTTCAGACCAAGCAATAATACCAGGTGTCATTGGAAAGCAGAAATGCTAAGCTTTCCAAAACCACACAATTGAAATTTTACACTGAGTGCAGCGAGCACAATGCATCAGCAAACAATGCCTAAAAAGCGGAGAGGTTACTACTGGAAAGGGACTACCACCTTGAAGCTTCCCAACTGCCACTCAAATCTATGTCATCTGTCAGCCTAGTACAAACATTTAAGAAGCATGGTAATCCTCAGGCATGCTACTAGCATTCATGCGTAAGCATTCACGAAGATATTTTACTCCCAATATAAAGTTCACATGAAGTTTAAAACATGAAGTTTACAATGCAACTAAAACAGTTATGCAAGTGAACATACCTTTAGACTTGGAAGCACTGCAGTACATGTGCTCCATATGTAGTCCCTGTCATGCTGCGAGACAGCCATATTCCAATCTCCAAGCTGCTTTGTGCCTCCCAGTGTGACATACTCTGTCCTGAAAATTGCCAACAAGTGCAAACCATGCACAATCGAAATGGGGTTTAGTCATAGTGCTTCTACAATTTGATAATTAATGAAAGGAGCCAAAATTGCCATTTATTTGTTTTGCATCACAACACTAAAAAGGAAATTGATATGAATTTCTCAGAAAGAAAGCTCCTCAGCTGACAAAAAAATTCTTCAATCTTAGAGGCTTCTACAGAACTTTTTTGCCAGTTTACTGAATAATAGGCAACAATGTGAAGCCTAGTGGGCATATATTTTGATCTGGAATGCGAACAAAAAGCAAGCAAAAAAGGCTATCAATTTGTCTAGACTTCAGAGGGCAGAATCTTTGTGGGCAAACAGCATGACATGCGTGCAATCTAAATCTCAATCGAGGATAACCTGACTAGAATCACGTACCACCCATTAACAGTAAGCAAGCGATGACACTAGTAAATCATGGCTGCTCACTTCATTTCTGAACATTTCAATAGCTTGGTACAAGTTGAGGAGTGCTTCCATAAAATACACGTTTTACTTTTTGACACGAATGAGAGAAGCCTGAGAAACAAACATGTAGAAATTGAGGCATACTTATCTCAGTTAGATTGTTCCTATGATTTCTTAGCTTTCTCTGAAACTTCGTATTCAGATGACGTAGATGTGCACAATTTTGTCAATTATAAGCATGCTTCTGTTTCGTTTCAAGAGATGGGGCGGAGGTGTGTCCCTTTATGTTCACCAGCATAATCACTTCTACACCCTAATAGAGTTTACGTGCATGTGCGATGATTTTGAAATGGTCGCTATTGTGTGCCGCAACTTTGTTATACTTGTTCTTTACCATCCACCTCGGGCGGTACTTTCAAATTTTCTTGACTATGTTGAAAAACTACTACATCGCACCAACGCTAACAATTGGCACGTCATTATAGTTCGGGACTTTATTGTAAACCTGCTTTCCGATAGTCAAGCAAAATTTCAGCTACTTGAAGTTATACTAGCGAACAACTGCGATAACCTAATTCACCAACCCACGAGCGTTATCGGGCACTGTGATACGCTCATTGATTTTTGCTTAACAAGTGTACCAAAGGCTGAAACTTGTTCTGGCGTTCTAGCTACAGATATCAGTGCTCATTTATCTGTACTTGAAATTTTTCCAACTCATAATTTAAAAAAAAAAAAAAAAAAATTGTTCACTACAAGATACATAAATTAAGCAGCATCATTTTATTTCAGTCTCTAGTCTTGAGCACCGACTGGGAAGCGGTGTATTCAGAGCATAGTTCGTCTAAATCATATAAAATATTTGTGAATATTCATGTCGAAATTACAGCCGAGTTATAATTCCACTTTTCTCTTGACAGCAGTCGTCAAGCATAGAAAGGCCCCGAAGGCATGGATCACGAGCGACCTTTATTATTTTATTAAACAGAAATAAAGAATATTTAGTAATTTTCCAAAAACGCCTGATCTTTAAATATTGTAGGAATTTAGGAAGTTTAGAAATCGGTTAAATTCTGACCTCATGAAAGCTAAACTTGTTTTTTCTGAATGCAAATTTGAAAGTGTTGCCCGGAATAGCCACAGAACATGGAAAATCTATCGTGAACTAACAAGCACTCCTTCATCAGGAGTACCACCGGAAATAGAAGTTAGCGGTGTAAAATACTCTGGTGACTCTTTGTTAACGATTATTACTTATTAAACGATTATTTTATCAACGTTGGCACTGCTGAACCCTTCCATACTGTACACCCAGAGCGAAATTGTATGACGTACATGCATAGTGCAGTAAAAGACACGCTGTTCCTGCCTCCAACTTCAGAAGATGAAATAACATCATATCTAGGTTCCCTTGAAAATAACTCAGCAGCAGGAGAAGACAGCATAAAAGGGTTATCAGTTGAGGCTGTTGCACATGCCATTGCAAAATCATTACCCACATTTTCAACGAAATGATATCATCTCGTATTTATCCTGATAGGCTAAAATTGCTCGTGTGACTTTAGTTCATAAAGATGGCAAAATTCATGTGTTGGGTAATTATAGACCAATATCTGTGCTATCACTATACTCTAAAGTTGCTGAGAAAATCCTGTGCACATGATTTAATAAATTTTTATTGGCAAAGAATGTTATTGTAGAGCAACTATTTGGATTTCAAAAGAAAAAATCAACACAAAAGGCACTAGTGCAGATTAAAGATAAAATGACCGAAAGCATTGAAAAAATTTATTTACAGTAGGTATACATCTAGATTTTTAGAAAGCTTTCGACTCCATCAAACACGAAACTTTATTCCATAAACTTAAAGCCTATGGCTGTAGAGGTAAAGCTATAAATCTCATTCGTAGTTATCTGCAGAATCGTTTACAATACATTTGTCTCTCTGACGCTAAATCTGAAAAAGCTGTAATCAAGTATGGGGTGCCTCAAGGCTCAGGCCCTCTACTATTTATAATATATGTAAATGACATCATTAATATCCATTTTATTGGCGAGGTCTTAATGTATGTCGATGACACAAGTGTTTTTTTTTTTCTGGGGCTGATTTGATGGAGCTAGAGGTGATGTCAAACAACTGGTTGACTGAACTTAATCTTCAGGTATCTTCTAATCAATTAAAAATAAATGTTAAAAAGATGAAGGTCATGCTTTCCCATCCCAAGAATATATATATAGATTAGAACATGAAACTGTATTATGGTGATTCTATGCTAGACCTCGTAGATGACCATTCATTTTTAGGCGTTACTTTTTAATCAAATTTAAGCTAGTCCCAACACGTGAACAATGTAAGAATGAAGGTACTAATTATGGTATGTACGAGATTGATTACCAAGTCATAAAATTATGCAATCAGCACCCTGAAAGAATTTAATTAGCATGATCATGCACCAACTCTAGAAATGTCAAGGTAAAAACTCGGTCCTTCTTTAACATTCAAGATAAATTGATATTTTGTGCATGGTTGATTAGGCTGTAGTCTCCCACACAATGTGTATCTATGTGCGTGCATGTATGTATATATATGTATGTGTGTATGTAATATATATATATATTAAAGCAATAAAAGCACTTGAAAAAATAACGGCAATAATGAAAAAAGTAACTGAGTGCACGGCACTGCAGTGGCGAAGGGCACTGGACAACTCAAAATAATTCCAAGTGTAATTACTTTTCCTAAGTGCAGCTGTCATCTGTTTCTGTTTTTACCTCACAATCCAATCAATTGTGTCAAACACGACATGCCCCATAGCAACCCTGTGCACAGTCAGGAGGCGCCAACTGCATACGTAATTCAGAAGCGGGCAAGAATTGCCATTGCACCAACTTGCCAGCCTCTGCGGCAATACGTGGCGCCCCTCTTTCTACGACGAGATGTCGACGGGGCGCTGAGTAGTTAGAGGCTTAAACTTCTTAAAAAAGCTCTTTTTCCCCCACACCGAACTGCCAGAGCCTGGAGGCGCCATCTGGTTGGGAACAATGCGTTAGTGAAAAGAAGGATACACAGACCGCAGACATCCTAAAGGTGAAAAGGAGAAAAGGGAGAGAGATGGCGGGGGAAGGAAGAGTGAAAGGGGCACCCCGGGGGAGTCCACCTTATATTCTCCTTTTTTCTTTTTTTTTTCTTTTTCTTTTCTTCCCTCCCTTTTTTCCCCTCTGATTTAAAATTGTATAAAGCTGAGCACCAACAAACTGTACACTCAATCCTGATGAAGGCCAGACTCTAGGCCGAAACGTCAAAATAAACCAGGTTGTGATCGCCCACGGAGGATCTACTTGAATATATATATATATATATATATATATATATATATACGAATGTATGCACTGATGTATGTAAATATATATATTGGTGTGTATATGCAAATATGTATGTGTGTATATATATCTGTAAGTGCATTTGCATGATTTTCTTATTATTATTTACTTTTTAACCTCCTTGTGCTCAGATGTGGCAACTGTGTCAAATAGTATGACTTGTTCTAGGCATCTTCTAGTGCAGAGTTCTGTTGTCAATCTGATGGCTGATTTTTGTGAATATGTATATTTCATGTAATAACTTCTTTTTCGATTGTATATGGAATGTTCTTTTCAACTGTAAATGTCTATTTAGCATTACCGCTGTTACGCCCAGCACGAGCACAACCTCGTCAGGAGGCAAACTACCTCCTTTTGTCCTGACCGTGGGCAATGTAATTGTATTGTCCGAAAAAGTAAAATAAATAAATAAAGAAAGTAATGTCAAAGCAAAACTCATGTTAGCATGCATGTGTGCTAATGATAATGGAGGGAAGCTGGACATATAGACATTCTGCACATTTGTCATATCATGGAGCCCTTACAAGTGATTGTTCTACAAGCACTGTCAGGCAGGATATTTATACTGTGATACATACTACACATGCAATCTTGTAATGGTACAAACTTATAATATTTTCAGGGAGTCTTGTTGTTGCTTTGTGCACTCTACTATGAGCACAGCCAATAGGAGGTGCTTGCCAGAATTTAGCGCCGCTACCAAACCATTCTCATAAATGTCAGAATGGTGTACACGAAAATGGTGTACACCACCACATTATGGTGTACATCATAAATGTCTCTTGGTGTACACCAAGCACCTCAGAAGAATATTACGGCATGTCTACATTAAACATAAAGAGAGTTGACTGTTTTTGCAATCAACTGAGTTTCGATCATCATTGATGATGTCGGCATATGATGCATTAGGTTAGTCACACCATTCATGATGATCATGCCCGTTCACCTTTATTCTATCCCATGATTGGTTAAGAAAAGAGGGATAACATGTCCTTGTGATATATTGGCTACACTCTTCCTAGTAACTTTAATCATACATATTGTAGTGGGGAAGAGAGAGAGAGAGACAGTATATAGTCGGAGCAGCTAGAAGACGACAATGACGAAGAGCTGAGCCCATGACAATGACTGATGCCCCTGAAACCAGGCAGTTGGTTTTAGTCAATAAACCCCCTTAAA